AGAGAGAGAGAGAGAGATTGAATCCCAAGCAGGCTCCATGCCCAGTGCAGAGCCCAATACGGGGCTTAATCCCACAACCCTCAGATCATGACCTGAGCCGAAATCAAGAGTCAGATACTCAACCAAGTGAGCCATGCAGGCACCCTGGATTTTATGGTTTAATTGGAGATTTTTAAGGCCAAAACACTTTTAATGATCTGAAATCTATTCCTTGCATATTGTTTGAAGTCCTAGTTCCTTGTGTGGATTGTGTACGATAGAGTGACATCATATTCCTTTCTTTGCAATATAGTGAGTCCTTGGGCAGGTCGTGGATTAGGAATGAGGTTTTTAAAGGCAGTGACAGCACATTAGGCATGTATAGGGCTTTTTATAGCTTAAACTGTTTCAAAAAGCATATAGACTTCAAAAAGGAAAACAGATTTCCCAAGTAAATTAGGTTTAATTGGTGAAACGATTTGTATCCCATTTCCGGAAACCTCTTAAGCCCCGTGCTTCCTTTGCTATCCTGTTAGGGAGACATCCTCACCTTTCTGTTTCTTTCTCTCTCAATAAAATAACTAGTAACGCTTCTCCAAGATATTCTGTCCGGTTATGAGTTTACCAGGCGTTGTGACTTGCATCCTAAGGACAAGGATGCTTCATGGCATTGAAAATGTAAACTGAAGAAATTCAGTTAATTTTGCCTGGATCACTGCGAGTTTTATGAATCTGGCTGTTGACATAAGTAGGGAAGCAGCACGGATTGTTGTGAGTCCGAACAGCCTGGCCAGCGCGGAGCTCTCCGGAGAGCCTGGCTCTCTGCCCTGTGCCCTCAGGGCTCCGTGCGCTGCTAGAGGCTGTGCTTCTCCTGGGGGATACTTACTTCCTCCTGACGGCACCTGCCAGGGAGTCCCGCTGCTGTCTCCGGTGGGGACGATTCTAGGTCTATCCCTGGCTTATCCTGCACTTCCGAGTGTGTCTCATCTGCAGGTACAGAAACAGCTGCGACTCCAGAGTTCTTTAACTAGGGTCTCAGACATAAAGGAGACTTGGGGGATTTCAGGGAATGTTTGTCAGGTTATTGTCGATCTTGTCACTGCGTGCTCACCTCTGTAGGTGGTATTATTTTGTAGATCTTTGGAAGCGAGGTTGTAAAAGGCTTTTTATAAGTCAGTTGGAGTAAGCAAGACTTCTGTGCATTCAGACATTAATTTTGAGGCGACCCAGGAATGGTTGGGATGGAAAATGTTCTGACTGAAATGTCTTAGAGTGGGTTTTTGAGTCTAATTTGTTTACCTTTTATTCCCACAGCATATTTGGTACAGGAAATTAATAGAGCTGATATTCCCCTGCCTGAGGGAGAGACCAGTCCTCCAGCACCCCCTCTGAAACAAGTCCTAGAAATGCAGGTAATGTGTTTCTGAATAAGCTGTTTTAGGTCGCTGATCGCAGACACTGCTCGTCTACTGAGTTTATATCGTCCAGGGCTTGTCGGGTTTTCTTCTCAAAACCGTGGAATGAAAACTAAAGAACAATGCTATGGTTAGCCCTCCAAGTTTTGTTTTTTCTGTGTTTTTTGTTTTGAGAGAGAGGAGGGGCACAAGTGAATGAGGGGCAGAGAAAGAATTCCAGGAGGGGTAGAAGGAGAGAGAGAAAGAGGGACAGAGATAGAGAGAGAGAGAGAGAGAGAGAGAGAGAAGTGGGGCTTGAACTCAACTGAAGCGGGATTCGAGCTCACCTGATGTAGGACTCGAATTCACGAGCTATGAGATCATGACCTACCGAAGTTAGATGCTTAGCAACTGAGCCACCCAAGTGCCCAGCCCTCCAAATTTGAAGTGTAATTTAGTTTTCTTGTAAAATGTAAGATGCACGCTCCCTTTCCAGCTGGTGTTGAGCTGAAGCTAATGAAAATTGAGTTGTGAAATGGGGTGCTTAGTCAGGTAATGTTTCTGAAAGTACGTTCCGGGCTTATCCGGGCTTTAGCATGCCTCTCCTGGCGTGAGTAGGGGAATCTTCAGTCCTGGACCCTTTGCCTTCTGCCAGACTCACGGACCTCCCCTCTGATGCTCAGAAGCTAGTATGAAGGTGATAGGTTATTCCAGGTCAGCAGCAAACAATTCCTTGTCCCTGAGTTCAGTGTCTCAGGGATACAGCGTTCCCCCCAAGAACCCTGGCTTGTCTTGTTAGCGCCCCTGTGACTTATCCCCCGAGGTTTGTGTTGATCATCTGATAGTTCATCGCACTGGGAACTAGACTAGAGCCCCTTAGAGCTCTTCTGAAACAATCAGTATTGTGTAGCCAGGACCATTCCATGGCTGGCCGCTCTGTTTATCTGGGAGGAAGTCATTTAACATTTGTTATATGAGTGGACTTGAGAGAGAATTGTACAATCAGATGAGTTGAAAGCGGTCATCTGGTTTGGCCTGTTTGATGGGTTGTTTGTGATATAATGACAATTTCGGTGATTGCTGAGTATTTATAGTTTTCGTAAAAGGCAGAGCACAAGTAATGGAGGTAGTATGTCAAGGGATTTGTTTGCATACAAGTTTTCAGTGAGTCAGGGATTTGGTCTACAGATCTCTGCCTCTGTTGTTCAAATACTTAAGTATTGTTAAAGAATGATGCCTGCGGTGTAATTGATTATGAAAGAAGATTCGATCTCAGGGCATCCTTCAGCCCAATTAATCGTATAAGCGCAACTTAAACATGTAGACTCTTTTTTTTTTAACTTTTAATTTTTTTTTTTTTACTGTTTATTTTTGAGAGAAAGAGAGAAGGAGCGTATGAGCGGGGGAGGGGCAGAGAGAGAGGGAGACACAGAATCCGAAGCGGGCTCCAGGCTCTGAGCTGTCAGCACAGAGCCCGACACGGGGCTCGAACTCATGAACTGCAAGATCATGACCCGAGCCGAAGTCGGATGCTTAGCCGACTCAGCCACCCAGGCGCCCCTATACATGCAGCCTCGTAACTAGAGGCTGGGAATATTTATGCTCCGAAAAGGTGACCTCAGTTTTTTTCTGTGTTGCAAATAAACGGAAATGTAGACTTGAAAGAAGGAGACTGTGTGATGTGTGACAGTGGGTAAGCAGATGAAGGAAAATCCACACAAGTGGTGGGGGCTGAGATCAGGCCAGACCAGCCCAGGGTACCGTGAGTCATCACCTGCGACACCTCCATCGTGCGTGGTGTCAGCTTCTTAGGAGTTCCCTGAATCAGTACGAAACCATAAATGATGGACCTTTAAAATCTCTGCATGCTTCCGTATCCCTGTCCGACTATCGGATTCTGGCTTGTTAAGCCCTGTCCTGGCTCTAGTGAGTGTGTGAAAAAATGACGAAACTACACTTGGAACGGACCTGTCCTCTTAAGTAACTGCCCTTTTGTTTTAGGAGCAGCTGCAGAAGCTCGAGGTTGAGCTGAGAGAAGTCACCAAGAACAAGGAGAAACTGAGGAAGAACCTGCTTGAACTGATTGAGTACACTCACATGCTCAGAGTGACAAAAACCTTCGTTAAACGAAACGTGGAGGTACTGACCACACACGTGAGGAAGTGCATTTCTTTTGTAAAACTCTCGTTCCCGTAAGGTTTCTCTTTCAGCTATTAGTTATTAAACAGGTTCATTTTGATCTTAGCTTTATTTTTCAGTCGGATTATACGACATGAAAAAAAAAAGTGTTTCCCCGTGTTGGTTGATTTAGCGATAACGATACTTCCTATTTGTAAAATCTTTAGTTTTGAGTTGAAAAAAATCTTTTTATGTTCATGAGGGAAAAAAAATGGGAAAGTAGAGTTTGAGCTCTAAAATTTAGGTATTTTTTTTTTCTTTTTCTTCACCAAATTACTAAGAGTAAAAGAATTAACAAAAAAGTCTTTGTAAGAGTAGAAACAGTCTACATAATAGTCTGTCCTCAGCTGAGTAGGGAGGGGAGTCTGTTCTGTCAGGGCCGTTTCGTTTGGCGTGGTGACATCTGACTGAGCACTCTGTCTCCAAGCGAGGCGGCGACATAAATTGTAACTATATCTCTAGTGAACGACTTCAGGTAGCTGATAAAAAAAGGGACGGGGCGATGATCGTTTTTATTTACCAGAGCTGTGTTCCACGTCTAAGTCTAAGTTGTCTTGGGGTGTCGGCGTCCAGATATGGCTCCCAGTTAGGATGCCCTATAAACTTGTTTGGAAACATGACTTGGGAAATAAAGTGTCACTTTTAATAAGGCACACTTGGTTTCATATTTCTTTGTAGTTTGAACCTACTTATGAAGAATTCCCTCCCTTAGAGAATGAGTCCTTGTTGGACTACAGCTGTATGCAGAGGCTGGGAGCAAAACTGGGGTAGGTGACAACCACTGGGGCGGGGGGGGGGGCGGCGAGCATCGCTGTCCTTGTCGTCAGTGGAGGGACGAGAGCTACCGTTTGAAGGCCTGTGATGGAGTGAAAGAAAGTGCATGTCTGTTTAAGAAAACACTGTACTCCTGTATTTGCTGAGTTGGATTATTCAGCTGTATTGACTTTTTAGCTAAATACCATGGGGATTTCTTCTTTCAGTATAATGAGCTGGAAAGAAGGAACGTTTATGCCATTCAGTGTTATATCAATAAGCCTACAATAATAGGTCAGTGACGCATCAAGTCCTGTTTTGTTTGGTGGAAACATAGGGGCTAAACTGAGTTGGTTAATTAAGTGATTTTTTAATTTTTTTAAAACGTTTATTTATTTTTGAGAGAAAGAGAGAGAGAGAGACACACACACAGAGCGTGAGTCGGGGGGGAGGGCAGAGAGAGATGGAACACAGAATCCGAAGCCGGCTCCAGGGTCTGAGCTGTCAGCACAGAGCCCAGCGAGAGGCTCGAACTCCAGAACCGTGAGATATGACCCGAGCCAAAATCAAGAGTTGGACACTTAACCAACTGAGCCACCCAGGCGCCCCAGCTGTACATTTTAAAGGATGTTTCAAAAATCTTTGACCCAGCATTTTAGATATTTTGCATTTGGAGGGCTTTCCAGATACCCTTTTCACCATTTTTCCAGAAACGAAAGTCTTCATTTCTCCTTTGAATGCAATTTGAGGATTTCAGTTGCTTTTCAATTGACTACCGGTTGCTTTTATTGTCTCATAGGTTTGTATCCGGCCTAATTAACCAAGGGAGAGTTGAAGCATTTGAGAAAATGCTGTGGAGGGTCTGCAAAGGGTATACCATCGTGACCTATGCAGAACTGGATGAGCCCCTCGAGGACCCTGAAACTGTGAGTCGATGTCCCGATCACCTTTTAACCATGACAGACTGGCAGCAGATTTGGGGGCGCAGTGCGCAGGGAGCCGCTTGAGAGTGGGGTGTTCACCTGATGGCTTATCATCCTCGAGTACCTTCAGGTGTAGCTCTAAAGTCTAGGACTTTCTCCTCGATGGCAGCTGGGAAATTACCGCAGACACGTTGCTACTGTCCGAGCCTCAGACCCCATTGAGGTTTCCCCCGTCGTACCACAGTCCCTGTTACAGCAGACAGTCTAGTTTTGGATCACAGTTTGGATCTAATTGTCACGTCTCTTTGGTCTCCTTCATTCTGGGACAATTTCTCAGTCTTTTCTGGACTTCCACGACCTTGACATTTGAAAATGATTACAGATCACTTGTTGTTGTTTTGTAGAATGTCTCTGCATTTGGGTTTGTCTGCTGTTTTCCCAGGATTAGATTCAGGTCGTGCGTCTTTTTTTTTTTAATTTTTTTTTTCAACGTTTATTTATTTTTGGGACAGAGAGAGACACAGCATGAACGGGGGAGGAGCAGAGAGAGAGGGAGACACAGAATCGGAAACAGGCTCCAGGCTCTGAGCCATCAGCCCAGAGCCTGATGCGGGGCTCGAACTCACGGACCGTGAGATCGTGACCTGGCTGAAGTCGGACGCTAAGGTCGTGCGTCTTTTGCAGGAGTGATGCTGTGTTCTCCTCCCTGCATCCTCGTGGGCGCACGATTTAGTTTGTCCCATTGCTGGTAACGTCGCTTTGATCACTTGGCCGAGGTGGTGACTCCTCGACTTCACTGTGAAGTCACTCCTTTTCCTTATAATTAATAAGTGTTTTAGGGGAAGTGCTTTGAAACTCTGTACCTATCCCATTCCTTACCAGATTTTCAGTTTTTTGTTTCCCATTTGATTCAATGAATTATACTCTTACTGTAATTGTTTATTTTGATATTAAAATTCTCTAGATTTGGCCACTCGGGGCCCATTCAGGCTGGCTGTTATGTCCTTTTTTCTGTGCTGCCATCATTTTTGGAGCACTTGTGCTTTTGAGCACAACAAGCTGTCCAGATTCATTTTGTAATCCCCTCACACAGCCGTGGAATCGGCCATTTCTCTGCGAGCCTGGTACTCTTTAGTGGAGAATGGTATTTAGAAGCCAAGGTGTAGTCTCTGGATATGCCCGTTGTTAATTGAGGAGTTGTGTTCCCCAGTCTGTCACTGGACAGCTCTAGGGCGCACGCGCACGCACACACACACACACACACACACACACACACACACACACCCCTTTATTTCTGGGCCTGTGCGTACATACCGAAAACTGTGAGTTCGCATCCAATTCCAATCCAACACCACAGAATTCAGTCTCAGTTCCTCCATTTCTGTTTTTGTAACGTTTTCCTTTGATGGTGAGAAACTCGGCTCCTGTTGTTGTGGTATTTTTACTTATTTTCAGTCCTCTCGCCTGTAACCGACCTTCCCGTCAGTGTCTCATTTTTGCCACCCCCACATCCCCCTGTGCGGAGCCCTGAGTTCCCCATGCCAGGTGGGCCCCTGGTGTGGGTGCCCTCCTCACCCTGCCTGGGCCGCTCCCCTACGTAGATGCTCTGCCCACCTTGCTTCAGCTCTGGCTTTGCCCAGGCCATTTTTGGTCTTCTCCTCCTTCTGGGTCCATCCCTGCACATGCACTTAAGGCTTTAGGACTGAATTATTCAGGAAGGGAAGCAGAGGGGCAGGAGAGAGAAAGAGCCATCATCACTTTTTAAAATCTCTATGTTTTTTTTTTTTTTTTTTTAGATTTTACAATAAAAATAACTATTTGCTCTAAATGAGGATGAACTGATCTATTAAAGGTAGAAGAGGAACTTTAGCTTCTTAATTTTGAGGAAAGGGTTTGTGGGTTGTTTTTGTTTTTGTTTTTTTTTTCTAAATTTGCCTCAGGAATTTTGGCTGTAAGGTTACTGTATGTCCCATAGTAGTTGTGACACATAAAGAGGACTTTGGCTGTGAAATGGATTTTCATAAACTTTAGCCTGAAAAAACCACGCATGTTTAACCTAATGTGTGAAAATCTAATCAGTCAAGTTGTTGATTAACCGTCCACCTGTGATCTTTTCTACTCTTTTGTGGCTCCTGTAGCTGCCACTAGCAATCTGTTTCTTTGTCCTTCAACCGTGACCTTTATGACCTCTGTATGTAAAATTGAAGATAGAAACCATTCTGCAGTGGCATTACCTATTCTTTTGAGCTTTTTCTTTTCCTTTATTTTATAATTATTTTTTTAATCATTATTTTTTTTTTATTTATTTTTTAACGTTTATTTATTTTTGAGACAGAGCATGAACGGGGGAGGGGCAGAGAGAGAGGGAGACACAGAATCAGAAGCAGGCTCCAGGCTCTGAGCCATCAGCCCAGAGCCCGAGGTGGGGCTCGAACTCACGGACCGCGAGATCGTGACCTGAGCTGAAGTCGGACGCGCAACCGACTGAGCCACCCAGGCGCCTCTGTTATTTTTTTTTAAAGAGAGAGAGGGAGAGGGGCAGAAGAAAGAGAGATTGAGAGAGGAAGAATGCAGATGAAGCTTAATCAGGCTCTGTGCTCAGCTCACCTGGGAGCCTGATGATGGGCTTGGCCCCACAACCATGAGATCATGACCTTAGCCAAAATCAAGAGTCAGATGCTCAACTGACTGAGCCACCCAGGTGCCATTGAGCTTTTTCTTTATTAAGAGGACCTATCAGTCATTCTCATGCAGAACTTTCATTCAAATTACAATTTTTTTCTATATATTTCTAAGCTCTTTTATGGCAGGCTTTTACCAGCTATGTGAAAAGGCATTAAGTACCTGTGAAGAAAGAAAAGTGGATTAGAGAGATGTATATCCTGAAAATACAGCAATTTCTCCATAATTACAAAAGAGATGCATGCTGGTTGTAGAAAGTTGGGAACAGTACCGAAAACGTGAAGGGGAAAATCTATCCCCTGTGGTCCTGTTCAGAAAGAGCCACTGCTGACATTTCAGTCTGTTATTCTTTTAGTGCTTGTTCTGGGTGTTCGATTTGGCAACTTCTTCTCCGGTTCTAGGATTTGTGTGTTCTGATCCCTTAGTGTCATTACCGACCCCAGAGCTTATTTCTGGCCATTTTCCCCTTGTCGGTCTGGTTTCTAGATGCGATGCTGGACTCCGGCGATTTCACTGGGTTTTATGATTTGTATTTCGTGTTGTGAACTGTCCCTGTGCCTTCTTACGCCCGAGGTGGTTGACATGGTACTATTGTTAAAATTGTTATGGAATCTTCGAGGTCAGGTGTACTATAAATGCCGTTTCTTTCTTCCCCTTGTTTTGTTTCTTCAATTACTTATTTTGAAATAATTTCAGTTTACAGAAAAGTTGCCAGAAGAGAACAGAGACTTGTCATATCCCTTCACCCACATTTCCCTGTCGTTAACAGGTTCCCACATTTGCTCTGTCACCCGTGTGTTCTCTCTGTGAGTCTCTTCCCGTTTTCTCTAGGCTCTTTGCACACTTTCTACAAGGAAGCCATAGACTCTGTCACCCCCGGGGTCACTCCAGTGCGGGTACCCCCAAGCAAGGACACTCTTCCACAACCACGGGGTCCCCTCCGAAAGAGGGAAAGAGCACGGGTGTAGCTCTTTTGAACACTCCGAACTTGCCATGCCCACCTCCCAGCAGTTGGCCTTTCTTCCTTCCTGATCCAGCACCTTCTCTGGGTCTGTAGTCGCGTCTGGAACAGGCTGACCCCATCCCTCTGGGCCACTTGATGTTTTCGTCACCACCAGACTCAGGCCATATGTTCTTGGCAGAGACACCTTGGAAGTGACGCTCTGGCCATCTCAGCGCATCTCGTCAGGTGCGGGCCTGTAACATCGACCTGGTCACGTGGCCGTCTGCCGGGTTCCTCCGCTTTCATGGCATCGTGTTGCCTTTTGTGATTGATTAGTAGCTTGGAGGGAGGTATTCCAAGTGGTGCTAGTGTCCCGATCGCCAGCCTGCCCACCACCTGTAGCGACCATTGACGGCCCTCGAATCTGCCACCTCCGTCATGGTTGCCACGTGGTAACCATGTGGGTTCTCGATTTCCATCATTCCTTCTGTACTTACTAGCGATTCCACGGAAGGTAGCGCTTCCCCCCTCTCGCATTCATGGACTCATGGCTTCCCATTGTATTTAATGACTTGTAATCTGTCACACTCAGTGTTTATTTGGATGCCCAAATTGTCCCTGATTCAGCTACAGAAGGTCCCTTCACACATGTTCCTGTGTCGTTTGACCTGTCGGTAGCGTTCACTGAGCATTCCCTTACTTTCTGGCAGCACAACACATTCCAGCTTCATCTTGGGCTTTCGGTGCCTGGCCTGGACCCAGCCATTTCTCCAAGGACCCCTGGTTCCTTTTAGTGGACGGTGTTTACAAAGGTCTGGGTGCTTGAGTGCTCACCGCGTACGGGAGTGTCGTCGTTTCTGGGCCCTTCCAGCGGTAGCATCTGTGTGTGCACACGCACACGCACGCACACCCGCACGTGTCCACACGCACAGCTGTAACCACCTCTGTGGCTCCCTGTGCTTATATTTTATAAAGCTGTGTGTTCCAACTATAACTTAAAATTCTGATCAGTTCTTTCTAGACTTAACCTTTTTCCAGCTCTTTTCTGACAAGTGAGAAATCTGGCTCCCCTTATCCTCAACGTATTTCATGAATCGCTCAGTTTACTTATTTATTCAGTGTAACCGGTCTCCTAACCACATCAACCATCTCCTGCAAGCCCCTGGCCACCCTTTGTCCTTGCCTTGGGACCCACCTGCCTGGGCTTCTCTGAGGCTCCCCAGCCTGTTCCCCCGCCTCCTGTGGCCCAGGGCTCGATTCTTAGACTGCTTCTCTCCTCTCTCTGCCCCTAGGGATCCTGTATAATTTCACAGCTTTAAATACTGCCTCCCAAATGTATATCTAGAACTTGGACCTCTCTTCTCAAAAACAGACTTTTCTGTATAACTGGCTACTCTGTGTCTCTTTTAAAAATCTGAAAGACATTTCCACCGGGTGCCTAAAACTGGACCTCCCGATCTTTCCTCTCCTACCTGCCCTGCCAGGCACGTCCATCTCGGTAGGGGGCTACTTAGTCCTTCCGACTGCTCAGGCCCAGAGCCTTGGGGGTCGTCCTGACTCTTCTCTTTTTCCTCACACCTCATGATTAATCCTGTAGCGGAGTGATTGGCCATGTCTTTTGAATAGGAAGAGACTCTGGCCTTTCTCGTCACCTCCACCCTGCTCCGCACCTCAGGTACATCCATTCTGCAGGAGCCTCTGTCCTGAGCTCCTGCCCCGGCCACTGCCCTGCTGTGCTCCCTCCTCCCAGCATCCAGAACAATCCCCGTAAGATCACGTCACTCCTCTACTTAAAACCTTCCAGTGGCTTCCTGTCTCACTTGGCAAAACACCCAGAGCCTTGCAGTGTCACCTCTTGTGGCCTCGTCACATGTCTGACCTGTCCACGCCCCTTCCGTGTATGGCCTTGCCTTCCCTGCTCCTGCTTCTCTATGAGCTCTTCTGGGCCTCGGGAGGTCCTTCCCTCAGTGGCCGCACGGCTCCCTCCCTTCCTTCACGCCTTTAAGCTCCAATGCTCTTCTCAGGGAGGCCTTCCCTGGTCACCCTATTTAAAATCACCACCCCAGCCTCCCCTCCCTTCTCCTCTTCCAGCTCTGTTTTCTTTACAGCACTTAACGACCATTTGGTATGCCGTGTCTTTCTTTGTGTCCCTCGCTGCCAACTTGACTACGAGCTCCCCAGCCCTCCCAGGTCAGGGATTTTTGTCTCTTTTGTTCAGTTCTATATTCCTAGCACCTAGAACAGTGCCTGGGAAGTAGGCCAAAAACCTATCCAGTTTTACGTCTAGAATATTTGTAAATATAGTCAGTTCTCAGTATTTACGGTAGCTCTGTAGGGTCTCCACGAACACATGAATGAATGACACTGAACCACCGTCCTAGCAGAAATGCAGCCTTAGGTTTCTGTGAGCCTCTGGTCACATTTTGTCCACCAGCCAATAATAACCTTGTTTTATGTGTGTTTCTATTTAGTGTGTATTATTGATTCATTGAACACTGAACTCTGCTAGCAGCACTATGAGTTACGCCTGAAGGAACCTTATCTAACCCACGCATTTTCTCTGTCTTCACTGCCTTCTTGGGCTCAGGAATGCTAGCTAGCACGTCAGCATTCTGCCTGAGGACCGTTTTAGATAGTGAAACCTGCAACAAAGAGCACAAATCTGAAAGACATGATCCTAACCAAACCATGAAAAGGACCCTTGTGTACAGGATGAGAGGGAACAAGAAGGCAGAGAGCCGCCCTGTTTGACCTCAGCTGGAGTACGCACATCGAGTGGCTCCAACTTCGGGCTGCTCTGCGGTGTCTATAAATGGCCAAAGCCATGGCCGGTACTGCTCTCAGGGTCATGAATACCGCGTGGCCAGTTTGGGTGAAGTGTAGTGACGGAGTCTGCGGAGGCCAGGATGGCTGCATCTGCTACAGGAATGACCCAATGCACTTTTTTTTTTTTTTTTCAACATTTTTTATTTATTTTTGAGACAGAGAGAGAGCATGAATGGGGGAGGGGCAGAGAGAGAGGGAGACACAGAATCGGAAACAGGCTCCAGGCTTGAGCCATCAGCCCAGAGCCCGACGCGGGGCTCGAACTCACGGACTGCGAGATCGTGACCTGGCTGAAGTCGGACGCCCAACCGACTGCGCCACCCAGGCGCCCCCCAATGCACTTTTTAACAGAGTTTTTACTGCCAGGGTTTTCAGAGATCTGGACACAGGAGTAACAATGATCCCGGTTTATTCTTTTAGGGAGAAGTCATAAAGTGGTATGTGTTTTTAATATCCTTTTGGGGAGAGCAGATTGGCCACAAGGTTAAGAAGATATGTGATTGGTAAGAACACGAAACATTTCATTTGATGTGTTTCTTTGTATTCAGTAGTCTCTAGTTTTCCTTAAAAAACCCCTCCGTGTTTGAAGGGAAATACGGTGAGTGCAAAGCCTGTTGCTTTCTGTTATGTATCTTTGCTGTAATACCATGTTTGTTTGTTTATTTATTTTGAGAGAGAGAGCACGTGCTCATGAGCAGGAGGAGGGGTAGAGAGAGGAGAGAATCCCAAGCAGCCTCCATGCTGTCCACACAGAGCCCGACGTGGGGCTTGATCTCACAAACTGTGAGATCCATGACCTGAGCCGAAATCAGGAGTCAAGACGCTCAACTGATGGAGCCACCCAAGTGCCCCTGTGATACCATGTTTTTAAACATTCAATTCGTCACCTCTTGTCAGCGTTACGCTTAAAATAATTGAGAAGTAGAGATCATGTTTAATAACATTCTTAGATTTTATTTTCTCTTTGGGAATCAGGGCTTAAGGATAATCCAAGAAGGAGTCACGTTTTAGTATTTTGTGCCTTCCTGTGGCTTTGAGCTCCGCAGAGGCCCGTGTGTCATCACTGAGCGTACGGTTCCTCTTTTGCTCGGTGTTTGACAGGTTTCTCTGCACTGTGGGGGAGGAGGCCCGGTGAGTGGTGAGGACTGAGTGGCTTCACCGCCCACGCCCAGGGCGGGCTGGGTAAGTCACCACGTCCAGGCTCCCTCCCTGTAAGAGGGAGCGGCACTTTCCTCCCTCCCTGGGCTTCGGGACTGAGGCCACACAGGCAAGACACTCCCGTGCAGCGTCGGCCACCGCCACGCGCTAAGGAGTGTCACAACGGAAATCTCTCTGTGACTTGTTCTCATCAACAGTGGAAAAATAGGAAAAGCCAAACAAAAAAGTCAAAAGAATGCCCTTTGTTTTTAGATGGCTTATTTCCCGTGGGGGTGAGGCTGGGGCTTGGTATTTCCTTTATAAAGTGTTTCCCAGAGTCGGATACTCTGTCACCGGTGATACGGAAAGTAATTTTAAGTGTTACATGGACAAACCTGTTGTTAATTTCATAGATGTTTATTCAGTGTACATTAGAAAAACTGTCACCAGCACACAAGCCCATGATTTCACACACAGTGTTGCTTAGGATAAGGCTAGAGTGAGTATTTAATTTTAATAGTCAGAACTTACAATCTGCCACTTAAGTGTGGCAGGAAGGTGTCAAGGCAGAAGGGAGAGTGCAGTAGGGAGGCACACCTCGTGTGTTTCGGGTGCCACGCAGCCCCCCAAGAAGACGGGCCCTGGGAGGCGAGGGAGGGGCTCCCTGCACCCACCACGTGTCCAAAGCAGTTGCTAGGACACCGGAGCTTTTTTTTTTCTCCCCCTCCCTTTATTTTCTCTTTCTTTTAAAAGTAATGACCGTTGTGTGTTCAAACCTGTTTAATGAATTCCCAGCCCAAGGATTGGGGTGGATTTCAGAAAGTTGGAATGGGGAGCAAGCTCCGGGAACGATCGGGGCAGGGAGGGAACACGGAACCAAGAGAGAGCGTGCTAAATGTGTTGAAGCCCGTAGACATTTGTCGCATGTCTCCGTGTACAAGGCCTCAGCGCGGGCAGGTGCCTGTGTCTGACCTTTCTCTCCCAGAAGGCTGCTTTTGTTCCTTTCTGGGGGGAGATGTGCCCACGTGGTGCACTGAATTCGGTTCTAGTGTTTGCCGTCGCCTCTCCTGGTCCTGACGGGCGTGAGACTGTTGCATTCTGTCTTGTAGTTACCACTGCCACGTTTACCCCTACCCGAATACAGCTGAGGAGCGGAAGGAGATTCAGGAGGGGCTCAATACCCGGATTCAGGATCTCTACACTGTGAGTAAACCGTTGCCTCCTTACCTGAGGTGTGTAAAACATTTACAAGTCCATTTACCTTGTTTTTCAATGTGGAAACTTTTGGTTGTGGACAAATCAAGATGTTCTTGGGAGATTGGAAAGTGACTCACCTCGCTCCTCTTCGTGGAAGTTTTATTTTAGCCACCTGTGAGAAATCTAGGTGGTGATGGTGGGACTTCAGAGAAGATCCTCTGGTCATCGCAGGAGACAGGCGACCCGTTTAAAGTGGTGGCTGTCATTTTTTTGCCTTCACTACTTCAATGACCGTTCCTCCTTGTATCAGCGAGGGCTCTGGGCGGCAAGAAGTGGGCTCTCACCCACCTAAGCAAAAGGGGGTTTCAGGCCCGAATGTGACACGGTGGAGTTGGTGGCTCTCGGGGCTGACCGGGCACTGAGCCGAGACTGGGAATGAATGGGAAGGATGGGAGCTCCGTGGGCCCAGCCAGGCCGCCGTGCTGGCACCCAGATGGTAACACCCAGCCACCTCCTGTGCCCTGGGGGCTGTGTCCTGGAGGGGCAGCTCCCGAGAGAGCATCCGATCGGCTGGGCTGCTTTCCGCCCGCCGCCTGGTGGTCCTGGCGTCCGGGAAGACACGGAATGAGCCCAGGAGGGGCCGGTGCCGGGGACAAAAGCTGGGAAAGCCTGTGTTTGTTCCCACGCAGGTGCTCCACAAAACCGAGGATTATTTAAGGCAAGTGCTGTGTAAAGCCGCCGAATCCGTCTACAGCCACGTCATCCAGGTGAAGAAGATGAAAGCCATTTACCACATGCTGAACATGTGCAGCTTCGACGTGACCAACAAGTGCCTCATCGCCGAAGTCTGGTGTCCTGAGGCTGATCTGCACGAGCTGCGCCGGGCGCTCGAGGAGGGGTCGGTAAGGCAGCCGGGACCAGATGGAGGGACCGGGGCTGCTCTGAGGACGCCTGAGAACCCGGGAGACGCCAAGGAGCGTGGGAGTGTCTGGGAGCGGGGAGAGGGCTGTGCTGACTCCTGTCCTGGACCGATGCCCCGGAGAGCGTGTCATCCGAGGGCGTGTGCATGCGCACGCGGCTTTCATTGGCTCTTCTGGTCGTGTGGTTAGAGAAGTAAAACATACATATAACAGAAGAGACGCAGTGAAGTGGCTTCCTCCTACCCTGTCACCTCAGAGACAAGGGCTGTTTTCTGCTGGGTCTTTGGGTTTCTTAACTGAAGGGTAAGCACGTACGAATGGATATCTTCTTGCTTTCACGGAAGGTTGCTGGTTATTCATTCTGTTCTTTTCACTTAATAGAACTTCCCTACTTTTTATACTATTTAATACTTTGCTCTACGGATGTGCCATGGCCTGGGGACCTGGCTGCCTACTCATTTAGGCGGCGTGGTGCCTGATGTGACCAGTACCACTGTGGCAACCGCCACTTGGCCGTGGCGGTTCACACACACAGATCTGTCAGAGGAGAGGCCCAGATATGGAATTGCTGGGTCAATTTTGATGGATGGTATCAGCTACTGCGTTTCTCTTACTTTGAATGAGGTTAAAAGTTTTTTATCAGGAGCTCCTGGGTGGCTCGGTCGGTTAAGCGTCCGACTTCGGCTCAGGTCAGGACCTCATAGTCTGTGAGTTCAAGCCCCGCATCGGGCTCTGTGCTGACAGCTCAGAGCCTGGAGCCTGCTTCGGATTCTGTGTCTCCCTCTCTGCCTCTCCTCTGCTTGTGCTCTGTCTCTCTCTTAAAAACAAATGAACATTAAAAAAAATTGCCACAACCCAAAACCTCTGGGACGCAGCAAAGGCGGTCATAAGAGGAAAGTATATAGCAATCCAGGCCTTCCTAAAGAAGGAAGAAAGATCTCAGATACACAACCTAACCTTACGCCTTAAGGAGCTGGAAGAAGAACAGCAAATAAAACCCCAAACCAGCAGAAGACAGGAAATAATAAAGATTAGAGCAGAAATTAATGCTATTGAAACCAAAAAAAAAACAGTAGAACAGATCAATGAAACCAGAAGCTTGTTCTTTGAAAGAATTAACAAAATTGATAGACCACTAGCCAGTTTGATCAAAAAGAAAAAGGAA